AGCACTCGACCTTTGCATCTATACACATACGAGGATCGGGCAGACGTTCGAGACGATCGCGTCGCCTTCGACCGTGTCGACCAGCGGCTCGGTCATCGCGATCTTCTTGATGCAGCTCATGTCAAAGCCATAGACATTGTCCCAGACTAAAAACGACGCATGAGCCACCAAATCCAGAGACGCGGCGACGTACACTCGATCTTCTCCGACTTGTACTGGCCGTCTTCGATGGCGGCCACGTACAAGACGGCCTTGTCCGGGAAGAGAAGGCCGCCGGGGACGAGCCACTTGTCGCGCGCGTAGAGCACCGTGTCGAGCATCGACTCGTAGAGGAGGAAGTAGCCCATCCACTCGGAAATGATTATGTCGACGTGCTGCACGGGCAGCTCGACTTCCTCGACCTTGCCCTTGATGAGCGTAATGCGGTCCGAGAAGCCATTGTCGTGCACAATCTGCTTGGCCTGCGTGATGATGCCGGAGCAGTCGATGCCGTAGACGTGCGCGGCGCCGGCCTTGGCCGCAAACATGGAGAGGATGCCCGTGCCGCAGCCGACGTCGAGCACGACCTTGTCCTTGAAGAGGTGGCCGTTCTGCAAGATCGCGTTCATGTACGTCTTGGTCCGCACCGCGTCCTTGAGCATCTCCTCATGGATGCCAAAGTGCGAGTACGAGTCAAAGTAGTAGTCCTTGGACGTCATGCTGCTGTCGGTCGTCGTCGTCGGGGCGCTCATATCTTGATCGGATCGAAAATGGAGCTCTTGGTGCCAGAAGCAGATTACACGTTGCCAACCAATTGTTCCGCGTGTCGGCTTTAAACGCGTTTAAACACACACGACGGGCCGGATACGCGCGGAAGAGACGCGCCAAAGGGGTTTGACCTCGAGCCCCCATCGCCGATCGACGTCGCCGCGCAGCTGCGGTGGAGGCACGTTCCTGCCACGTTTACCACGGGCGAGCAGAGGTTTACTGTGGCACGCACGCAATCACGCCTCCCCGGCTCGATGATCCAGGCCGAGACGCATCCAAGAGATAAGATCTCATGACGCCTCAGGCTTGAGCGCTCGGCGCAGCCCTTTATGAGGAGCTCATAACGTGTAGGATAGTGAGCATCGAGTCCATAGTGACGTAGGTTGTCGAAGTGACAAGAGGATGCCATCCTTTGGGATTGATTCGTCATGCGTGCCACAAAGTGCAGGAGGAGGAGACGGGATGTGGGGAGAGACTTGTCTATCCGTTGCGTGCGCATTGGATTATGTTATTAAGTCCACAGCCAGGCCAGCCCTAAAACCACGAGCTCACGAAACAACTAGTGTTTCGGTCGCTTAGATGGCACCACGGTTGCCACCCTTCTTGGCACCGCCGCGGGCGACGTTCTTGTTGACGGCCTTGTTGATCGGGGCCTTCTCAGCCTTCTTGGCCTTGGTGCGGTCCTTGGCCTCCCTAAGGTGCGAGACACTCATCAGCATCCTGCGCGCTTCAACACTGTTTTATCGTACTTCAAGGCGGCGTCGCGGGCAGCGGCGCGGACAGCGGGCTTCTGGTTGCGCTTCTTCTTGAGTTCCTCAACCGAGACGCCGACGATGGCACGCTGGATCTTCGTGGACTTGCGAGCACGGCGACGCGTGACTTCCTCGACCTACGCGCGAGCTTTAGTGTTTTGTGCAATACGCTTTGTAGACGTACGCGAAGCTTCTTGTTCATGCGGCGCCAGCCGAGCGTCCACACGATCTTAGCGGGCTTCTTGCGCTGCAAGAAGAGCGACTTGCACTTCGAGTTGAGGAGCATGAAGGCGTTGCCGTCCTTGCGGATGAGGCGGGTGCCGTGGCCGGGGTAGATGCGGCTTTCGCTGAACGCGCAAGTGTCGGTCCTAGCAGGATCATGCGCATGAGCCTCTGCTGCGTGCTGCCGGGCGCGGGCGACGCTACGTACTTGATCACCATTTTGGTCTTGAGGTAGCTGTGGAATTAAAGCCAATTGCTCAATATGGAGGCGAAATTTACCCCCGGCCGCCAAAACCAGTCTTTTCAAGCACCCTTTTGGTTGGCTCTCCAACGCTCTTCTTTTCGACCAATCCGCATCCATACTCACCCGAGTTTTGACCAATCCCAGGCCACATCATTTTCCATTGTTTAAATAGTGTACGACAACAGACTATTTCCAGCCGAAAGCAAATAGTGTCATATCGATGCGCAAGGAAGGAGATGCGGAGCCGATCGAGGTATATATGCATGCATGGCGTCGGGATGTAGTACGACTACACGCATTAGCCGTGCATACGGGCTACCTACGCTACTTCCATGCCTCGCCCAGGTAGGCGAAGAAGGCGAGGTAGAGGAAGACGAGTAGGAAGATCGCGAGCTGAACCCATCGCGTCGGCTGGAAGCCCGAGACGAGGTAGAGCGAGTAGTCGGCCGAGCCGGAGAGGACCGTCATGTCGTCTTCGTACTCGCGGATCCGGTCGTCGTCGTGGGCGCTCGGGTCACTAGAGAACGTCGATACGTGAGACGACCTACATCGCCACATCGCCACCTACAGGAGCATGGGCGGAGGAACGCAAGGCCTGTCGACGGAAGGTAGTGCGCCGAAATCGTCTTGAGAAGACGCAGCCCATCGTACGTGAAGAGCAGCAGCTGCCCATCGCTGGAGCCGCAAGCAATGTAGCGCAGGCTACACATGCACGCATGAGTCCCTGCAACGAGGTCGGTCTACCATAGTACTTGATGGCCATCGAGCACACAATGACGTCCTTGATCGGAACGCTCGCAACTTCGAGGAAGAGCTTGCCGCCGTCGGCGGCAGCCCACTTGGTCAGATACGACGAGCCCCGCGCCGGTGTCTGCAGCGTCACGATCTCGTCGTGGTGAAAGTGGCAAGCCCGGTAGATGAATTTGCCGCGGTTGGCCTTGACGTCGAGCTTCTGGAGCGCAAGCTCGCCGGCGAGGCCGAGCTTACCAGTCTTGGTCCACGTCTTCTTCTTCTTGTCGGTGACCGCCCACAAAATGCATTGTCCATCCTTCGCACACGTCAAGAGCTACGAGCGGCGATGTGAGAGGCGTGTATCGTGTCTCGTGTCAACCTTGGTGCTGGTCGCATGCCATGAGAGGCCGCTGATGCACCCGCTGTGACCGTTGTCGAGCTTGGCGATTTCGGTGGCCTTAAACTTTTTGGCAAAGGTCTCGTCGTTGCTGTCGTCGTCGGGGAGGGTAAGCTGCCACACGCGGACGATGCCATCTTCGCCGCCGGTCGCGAGCTTCGTTCCATCCGGGCTGAACCGCAGAACGCTCTAGAGGCCACAGTCATACAACACGTCGTGGTTGTAGCCTCGTGCAGTCGTACTTGGTAGCTATCGTCCTCGGCAAAGTCCGTTTGGAATTCCGTGACATAAGTCGACGTCCTATGATGACGATGACAGGGTCCTCATCATGCGGTCGTACGTCTTGCTGCCATGGCGCACACGGTAGATCACAGTCTTGTTGCCCATCGTCAGCGCGACGAGGCCGCCCTACGTAGCGCATCGCCTCGCCGTCGCGTGGGACACGCCTACCTTGGTGCCAATCGAGACGCCAGAGACAAGGTCGTCGCCCGTGTCGATCTCATGGAACGGAACGAGTGTCGGCTTGATCGTCGCGTCGAGCGCGTGCGGGAGGCGGGCCAAGGTCTACTACATAGGTAGTCCGCAGCTCGATCGCGAGGCCATCGTCGTACCACGCAGTTCTTGATGCCACTCTTGGCCGAGCCGCCGCCGCCCGCGATGGCCACGAACGAGACGTCGTCCGGGTCGCGCTGCCAGTCGAGGCCGAAGACCGGGTACTTGAGGCTCACGATCTTCCCCTCGGTCATGTTGGTGCTTCCAAAGAATGCGACGGCGTAGGTCCGCCCCCACATCGCACTTAATCGAGACTGCGCCAATTTCACACGCGATGCACGGGAGCGCGCCACGTCACATCCACGCCCTGCCTTCCGCTTCCTCAGAC